CTCCTGTGCTGTGGGCCTCCCCTACCATCCACCTTCATACCTGCCGGTCAGGGACAGCACCTTTCCAAAGCCATATTTGTCATCTCCTAAACCTGTCTCTGCTCCCTTCCTTTCACTGCCTTCGACAAATCACATCCTCCGTTGCTTTTAATGAATTTTCTTCCTCTGTTGAGAAAAATGGGGGACGGCTGTGTGTCAGGAGCACCCACCACCCCAGAAGCGGTGCAGGCACTTAAACCTTTCTGAAAGCCAGGCAGGGCCAGGGACTCGAACGTGTATATCACTTCTCAAAACACAGTTAAGCTGCTCTTGGAAATGTTACATCAGACTCTGTAATTCTGCTGTTTCCCTCCAAAACACTGGCGCAACCACAATTTTTCCTCCCTCTCCTTATTTCTAAGCTGTTATCCATATGCCCAGTGCAGTCCTCTCTGGTTTGCCCGAAGTACAGCAGCCAGCCATCCTGCAACCACGGCAGTCGCCAGGCTTGCTCACTTGTATCTTATCTTTTTTTCACTTGAATTCAAGCTCTTTTCCTTGCCTTTGAGGTCCTCTGCATCTTCTTGCTTGCTCCAGCTTTCTCTAACACACGCAGCGTTTCCTCTGATGTTTCCCTGCTGCACTCTTCCAGCTTCATGCCTCGCTTTGCCTGGCCATGCAGAATTGCGGCTGGTGAAAATACACAGCTGAAAGATTTCCCAATTAAAAAATATACATTTTAAATGAACTGAAATCTTTTTGCAAAATCATGATACATGCAACAGAAAATAACTCAAGAAAAAAAATAAGCTTTTTTAAAATTTTAGAATATGTATAAATGTTTTAAAATCATTTAATATTTAATATATTTTTAACGGAGGCTTTCATTCTTTTATTGGTTTCATGTCAAACTAATTTTTTTATATGTGTTAATAACTTATCAGCCAAATTAATGCAAAAAGCATCCAATGGAAAAGGAGGCATCTTTTTAATTGACTGATGTTTTGGTCATAAGAAGAAATAATGAAAGCTGATCTTATTCATTTCTAAACAAAAAAGTAAATAGAATGGAATTACATATGTTGTACTGAATGTCTGTAACAGCAGAACATACTATTGACATATTATTAATCATATAGTTAAGAGTGGTCAGGCCTTGGAACAGGCTGCCCAGGGAAGTGGTAGAGTCACCATCCCTGGAGGTATTTAAAAGACGTGCAGATGAGGCGCTTAGGGACATGGTTTAGTGGGCATGGTGGTGTTGGGTTAACGGTTGGATTTGATGATCTTAGAGGTCTTTTCCAACCTTAATGATTCTATGAAATTCTATTAAATTCTATATAGATAATAGAATACAACAAAGTTCTATTACAACAATGTTAAAAAGTTAATTCTGAAAAAAAAAAAAGAAAGAAGAGGAGCTGGTCTCTCTTATGCAGTAAGACCAACGGGGTACTTGGAGGCAGGGTGATGCTGTGGTCATTGGTAGCATTTTGAATACCTCAAGGGACAGGTCTTTTCTTTCTGACTGTGCTACTGACTGGTGCCAGATCCTTCACTAGATTATTTCTTTTTTTCCCCAGCCCATTTTCTCACTTTTTTTTGGTCTGCCTGCAGTATTTAGCTCTTCTCTTCTTTGGGACTGTTTTTCACTATTCGTTTATGCAACAGCCAGCAAGCTGGAAAGCTACTTTGGATTGGAGCTGCTAACTGCTACCAAAGAACAGCTTAATAACTTTAATAACAGTCATGCTTTGGATCTGCCACATACTTGTTTGGGGCTCTTGGGCAAATCTCTTACGTTCTCTGTGCTCCTATAAATCAGGAAAACAGCGCTTGTTGAGATTAATGGATGAAAAGCATATCATTTCACTGACTTGTAAAGCACCACAGTTTACAGTATTGCACAAAACAAAAATAATTTGAAGTTATTGAATAAAACAAAAAATTTCAAGCCTGTCCTTGTTTTGATATTTTGTCCTTCACCGTGTATCCTAAATACACTAAAATATACTTCAAAAAACTCCAAGGTAGCAAAGAAACTCTGAAATATCCCCACTTGAATAAAAGCTGCTTAAAAAATGATTGCAAAGAGGTATCAGTACCTGTGAGTTCTTGTTTTGCTCAGAAAGTTAACACATTACTAATGGGGAGGGACATAACCAGACTGGAGTACGCAAGTTTATATTAGCTGAAGAAAATGAAAAAATGTGACTCAGAAATTATATATCGGCTTCTGCAAAGAGTTGCAAATTTATTAGGGTGTGTTCTGTGATGGAGACGTCTAAACTTTAAAATTTTTCACTTAAATCAGGGGTGGCTGTGAAGAAAGGGGGTTTAGCAAACACATTAAAAGAACACCTGTTTATGTGCTACCTTTACTGTCTTCAAAAAGAGCCGTATTTGATTTTTGTTTTGCAGAATGTGTTTGTAAGCCCTCTCACCTCTTTTCCTGTTTACCGCAGCTACAAAACCTTCTATTTGCCTCAAAACCCATTCTGTAACTGGCAGCTGCCCATTCAACACCCGCATATCACCAAATCTCGGCCATCTCCACAAGCGATGGAGTAAACCTCCTGGAAGCTCCCGAGCCCGAGAGAGGACAAGGACACGGTAGAAGGAGAAGGTGACCACGACCAGCTGAGAGAGTAGAGGCTTTTTACTGTCAAAGGTAAAGTCCGTCCACATTTAATGTGCTACTTTTAAAAGTAATGGGCTAGCTTTGGCAACCAGGGGAAAGGGACCTGCAGCAGTTATCTCTCTCTTGATACCCTCCGGAAAACTGCTTTTTCAGTTTGACTCTTTTGCCAGCTGATGTGGAAAGGGGAGAAAATGGAAAATGCTGTGCCTTGGTTGGAAGCTGTCAAAGGCATTAACGGTGTAAAGGCGGTCTGAAAGCCTGAAGTGGAGCATTGCCAGTCTCTGTTCAGCCCAGGAAAAACATTTTTGAATTTTGCCAAAATCAGATGCATCATATCTGTAAATCTATATCTATGTATCTGTATCTATCTATGTATTTATATACCTATATATCTGTAACACAATATTCATTGATTTTTGGAAATTTTTTACTTTTGGTTGTTGAATCTATGGACTGCTTTTAAGAGGTCCGTGGCAGGCTGTTGTGATTTAACCCCAGCCAGCAACATAGCCCCATGCTAGCTACTATGAAGAAAATTAACTCTGCCCCAGCCAAAACCAGCACACCGGCAATTAAAAGCAAGCCATTTTTGTAATGCTTACAGTCATGGTGTGTTGGGGTCACACATCAAAAGCATTAGCGGGAAGTATTTTCTACCCATATCTGTTGCTGCATGAACAGCCATTATCTAGTGACTCAACATCTCGACATTTAGGGGTTTATGCATGAAAACAAAGTTGAAATTAAGAACGCAGGTGTCCTACCTACAGCTGAAAACTAAACATAGGAAAGAATTACACTATTGACTTAGATTGCAGCACTGCTTTTCTCAAAACACTCGTTATTTCTGAACAAGGAACTCTGTAGGGTTGAGTGTTTGTAACAGGTTTCTCTGCATTGCATGTGCCAATTGACCTTGGGAGAAACAGTCCTGGTGTCCCAAGAAAAGCTGAGGCAGGTCAGTGAGGCATGAGCAGCATCCGTACCTGGAGCAGAGGACGAACACTGACTCCAGCACCCCTCTGAGCTGTGCATACGGATCCTCCTCTTGCCCTGCACAAGGAGGCACAGCTGGGCAAGAAGGGGTGAATTCTGATTCCTTCCTCGTCAATATGAAAATTTTCACCATTCTCTCTCTTTTCGTATACCCGAACAGCAATTTTTAACTCAGGAGAGCATGTCCTCTACTTTTAATGAATTAATCACTGTCATGCATATTATTGCTACAGCTTAATAGCAATGATTATTACAAATGATTCTTCCCTCCTGGAAACTCTGTGTCTTTGAAGCTCTTTCAAGATGTGATCAATCTGTATGCACGCATAACACAGGTTCGGTGCACAATAAATATGCAAATGTCTTAGCAGTGACAAGGCAAATTCCTTTGAAATAGCGTCTTTTGAAAGAACCAGTACTTCTTAAAATGTGAACACTTAACTCTGCAAACCAGATCCCCTTTTATAGGGGTCGTGAGGTGACATCGGGGAAAAAAAAAAGGTAGCTAAAGCACTGACTCACTTTTGGGGAGCAGGTCAGGTACTTTAAAGCTGTCTTCATTGCAATTCTTCAGAAATGACAGAGAGGAAACCCTCCCCAGATTGTTTTGGTTTTTTCTGAACTAGAAAACTGAAGTTGGGCAGGACAGGCGGGAGCGATAAACTGTTGTGTTTTAGCAATAGGCACAGCCAAGCTGCTCACCAGCTAACCTGGAGGTCAGTGGCAGCCTCGCTGCAGCAGCCCAGGGCTCGGCACTGCACGTGCTGCTGTGCAGCCCTGCGAACTCCTTGCTGCTGCAGATGTTTTTTGTACGCGATCCTGCACCCACCCGTGGAAAACTAGCTTACATATCTCTGCACTTCATGTCAGTATCTAGCCCTGATCTGCTCAGCTAAAAATGTGGTTATGCTGCTGGGTGATGGCTTCTTCAGTTGAGACACTTTTATAAGGGTCTTTATACTACAGGCAAAAAGCTTCCCCACCCCAGGGAGCACAAGAAAATCCAGATTCGTAGATCCGATGCAGGTTTTGTACAATTTTGCACCATTACGACTATTCAGAGCATGAATTTTTCCCTGTCACTATAATGATGAGGGGCTAACTCACTGGCACTGAGGCAGTTTTGGGGAAACTGAGAGCATCCCAGTGCTCACACTTATGCATGTATAGGAACAATTGGCAGGCTGCAGGTGCAGCCTTTTGGGTGGTACAGCTGCTCTTGTCCAGCCAGTAGAGACCAAGACTGTATTTTGCAGTCCCTCTCTGCCTGGAGGCTGACCCACAGGCTCAATGCAGCACGGAGAGAGGCAGAAGCCACCCTGGGAGTCCTGTGCCAAGACAGCCAGCCATTTATCCCTTGCTCTTTCCTGCACAGGTATCTGAGATGAATCCCACAAGCCAGTTCCTTGGCACAACAGAATATGACTATGGATACGATGAAAACACTGCTCCGTGCAATGAAGGAAACAGCAGGTTCAAATCCCTCTTTCTGCCGATCCTTTACTGCCTTGTGTTTGTCTTCTGCCTTCTGGGAAACTCCTTGGTCCTTTGGGTTCTCCTGACCAGGAAAAGGCTGACGACGATGACCGATATCTGCCTGCTGAAAATCTCCTCTTCGTTGTGCCTCTCCCTTTCCAAGCCCACTATGCTTCAGACCAGTGGGTTTTTGGCAACACTATGTGCAAAATAATGGCTGGCATTTATTACACAGGTTTTTATAGCAGTATTTTCTTTATAACCCTCATGAGCGTAGACAGGTATATAGCAATTGTCCATGCTGTCTATGCCATGAGGATACGGACAGCCTCTTGTGGCATAATTATCAGCTTAATCCTGTGGCTGCTAGCTGGCTTGGCTTCTGTACCCAACATCATGTTCAACCAGCAGCTGGAAATCGAGCAGTCTGTGCAGTGTGTCTCCACATACCCCCCAGGCGACAATACTTGGAAGGTCGTTTCTCAGTTCGCCGCCAATATCTTAGGCCTTTTGATTCCCCTTAGCATCCTCATTTGCTGCTACGCCCAGATACTGAAAAACCTGCAAAAATGCAAAAACCGGAACAAGATCAAGGCGATCAAGATGATTTTCATCATCGTCATTGTTTTCTTCCTCTTCTGGACTCCCTTCAACATCGCGCTGTTCCTAGACTCCCTGCAGAGCCTGCACATCATCAATGACTGCGAGGCGAGCTACCAGATAGCCCTGGCCCTGCAGCTGACGGAAACCATCTCCTTCATCCACTGCTGCCTGAACCCCCTGATCTACGCCTTTGCTGGAGTGACGTTCAAGGCCCATCTTAAAGGACTACTCCAGTCCTGTGTCCGTGTCCTCTCCAGCCCTGTCGGAGGTGCAAGGGCTGGTCAGTCGTTTTCGGCACCCACCCAGCTCTCCGGCTGTTCTGACAGCGCAGGGGTCCTGTGAGCCCACCTGAGCTGCCTTCTTCTGGTGCAAGAAGTTGGCCTAAGCTCTGACATGGCCCTGGAGGTTGTACCATGCGTGCAGCATCCCCTTGGGAGGACTAATACATCTATGCCTCCTTTTGGGATATGTTGTGAACTACAGCACAGTAAGTGGCAATGTTAGTTTCCTAAGAGCACTGGTGCGTTTGTAAGATGGTGACCCTACAAGCTTGCCACAGAATGATTTTTAATTAAGTTTTTTTTTTAACTCTTTTGATACATTTCAGCAAGCAGGGTGCTTCCTCTAGTACTTATTTTCTCCTCTGATGAAAGCATTGCTTCTGCCTCACCCCCAAATATGCTCTGCCTTGTGGAAGCTGTTCCATACCGGAATCCCTACATCCCTGGGACAGGCGTGAGGCACTCCTCCGGGAGGCAGGGAAGGGGACAGGCGTGGGATTACTTCACATTGCAAAGAGGGAACCACCTCAGCCACCGTCACCGTTCCCCCTTTGCTTCAGCTCCCAGATAAAGAGGCCCCCCAGCTCAGGGTCTCGTTGCTTTGCTGTGGGACGCTCCCAGGGGCATGGCCGGGGGGTCCCTGCAGCTGCTGCCGCCCAAAGCGGGGTTTGGTGGTGATGCCTTCAAAAATAGCAGAGCAACGCCTCTGGGTGCCCCCTATACTGGCCCATACGCTTGAATATGTCGTCATCAAAGCAGCCTGGTAGTCTGCATCACCACTGGAGGTGTGGGCCCTCCAACTCTGTGCCCCCAGCGCTCGCTCCTAAATGTAAACACCACAAAATGGCATGTAGCACACAGGCTCCGTCTCTTTTTCCATACATCATTATTTTCTGCCATTTTAGGAATGTTTTCTTTGAATAAAGACATTAACTGCATCTTTTTATGTCTTTCTAATGACTCGCAAGCCTTGATTAGGATAAGGAAAGGATGTTTTTACTGATTTTTGATTTTTGAGCCGGTATCACATAAAATACATCTGATGGAATTGAGAGGCACCCTGGAGCTCTTCAGCAAAATAAGTCTTGCCTCCACTTTCCTG